CCTAGGTCAGTCCCATGCAAACTCTCTGGTTGGCGGTTCAGTCTCTGTGAGCTCCTAGAGTCCAACTTAGTTGATTCTGTGTGTTTTCTTCTGGTGTTGTTGTCCCCTCTGGCTCTCATTCAATAACAATACTTTATGCCAAAAGACTGAAGCAATGCATTAAAGATACCGAAGGGAACAAAGTGTTTGGCTAGAATCTCCAACTCACCCCTGCATGATCTGAGAAACCCGTTCATTTCTCTCTCTCTCTCTCTCTCTCTCTCTCTCTCTCTCTCTCTCTCTTTCTCTCTCTCCAAACCCGGCTGACTCAGAGAGCCTCTGAAGAAAGAAAGGCACCAAAAAGCCCAGTTCTGCATTCTTGGTGGCTACTGCAGCTTCCTCCTCTGAAGTTGCCAGCTGCCCAAGTTCCTGACCAAAGCCCTAAGGTGCTGAGCTTTTGACCACATACTTGGGCACAAACCCAGCTTCTGGAAGACACATCATCATGCCGCCCCTATAACCTGTAGAGTCTCTGTGCTTTCGTTTGTGAGAGCAGCTTTCATGGCCTGCACCTCTGGGACTGGAGAACACACCCGGGAGTTGCTTTGCTCAAATAAAGCTGTTGTTTTTCAACTCAGCTTGTTCTGGCTTACTGTGTCAGTGGAGAAACCTATTTTCAGGTGACAGAAAACCTTTTAAAAGGTGAATCAAGGATTTAAAATGAAACAAAACCTTCTTCTAAGAGCACAGAAGTAGGTAAATAAATGAGTTTAAAACCAAAAAGCCAAATAGAAACCCCAGCTGATGGTTGGAAGGGAAAAGGTACAGCATGTAATTTATTGCCTGTCATGTTCAATATCTACTTACACACAGACTGAGGATGATGCTCACCTCGTAGGGAGCATACCTAGTATGCATGAAGCCTTGGATTTGATTACCAGGACCCCATAAACTTGGTGTAGTGTTACATACCTGCCATCACAGCATTTGGGAGGACCAAAAGCTCGGAGTCATCCTTGGCAGTATAGTGAGTTTGAGGCCAGTTTGGGATACATAAACTCCTTTTACAAAAACAAAACAGGAGCAGCTGGAGAGATGGCTCAGCGATTAAGAGCACTTGTTACCCTTGCAGAGGACTTAGATTTGGTTTTCAGCATCCACACAGTAGCTTACAGCTTCCTGTAACTCTAGTTCTCGGGAATTCAGCACCCCTTGAAGGAAGGCCCTGGACATGCAAATGGTACACAAATAACTCCCAAACATTAAATAAATGCATATTTTTTTAAAAAATCAGTATGAAGTTTCTTTAAAAAAAACTAAAAAGAAAGTATAATGTGGCTATGTATAGGTATATACTTGAGGGAATCTAAGCTAGCATATTACAAAGATTCCAGTGGCATTAACTGTGGCCCTGTTCACAAGAGCAAGTTATGGAAGCAGCATAGATGGACATCACAAAAGAATGTATTAAGAACATGTGGTATATATGTACAACAGAATCTTTTTTTCCCCCCAAGACAGGGTTTCTCTGTGTAGCTCTGACTGTCCTGGAACTTGCTCTGTAGACCAGACTGGCCTCAGACTCAGCGATTCATCTGCCTCTGCTTCCAGAGTTCTGGGATCAAAGGTGTGTGCCACCAAGGTCTGGTATTTAGGTTTTAAAAGAAAAAGAAAGTGCAAGGGTAATTATTTTGGGAGAGGAGGGATAGCGATGGGAGGGGAAAGAGAAAAACAAGAAAGAGTAATGGGGGATAAACATAAGCCAAGTAAAAGATATACATTATGAGAATGTCATCATGAAACTCACCTTTTACGTGTGTGTGTGCACATGGAGACTAGAGGTCACCCTTGGGTGTCATACCTCAACTGTTCTCCATCATGAGTTTTTGTTGTTGTTGTTGTTTGTTTGTTTGTTTTTCCAAGACAGTGTTTCTTCATGTAGTTTTTGGAGCCTTGTCCTGGAACTCGCTCTGTAAACCAGGCTGGCCTCGAACTCACAGAACTCTGCCTGCCTCTGCCTCCCCAGTGCTGGGATTAAAGGTGTGTGCCACTGCCATCTGACTCCATTGTTGTTTTTGAGGCAGAGTCCCTTACTAATTGGGAGCTCACAGTGTACACTAGGCTGACCAGCAAGTCTCAGGGATCCACCTGTCTCTGCTTCTAGGGCTGGGATTAGAAGTACTTCCTATCATGTCGGGACTTGTTTTTAAAATTAGCTCTGGGGACTGACCTGAAGATATCATGATATCAAGTGATCTCCTTGGCCCTTGCTTTGCTTTTTAGATACAATATTAGTGCACACACACTATCTACAATGTGGCAGATTCTAAGATCGGAGCAGGAATTTTACCAGATGAACCTGGAGCATCTTGTAATAATTCAAAACCAGAACATTCTCAAGAAGATTTGAAAACAAACAAACTAACCCAAGGATTTGTTAGCTAGACACAGGAGCCAACTGCGAACGTCTGTTGACTATAGCTGGAAGAATGCGCAATGACACCGTAACTCAAAATGAAAGACAAGCGTGCGCGGGTCCATATCATTACCAATATCGACACAGAGACAGACATGGAGAGAATACAGACCACTCTCTTGCAGAACTATCCCCCATGGTTTTTAAGGCACTCTGCACTCAACGCACTGGAGCAGAACTTTTCATTCTTTAAGTGTGAGCTTCTGTTTAGGTTCTAGCTTCTGAGAAGAAAGGCGGGAAAAGAAACTTCACCATACAGAACCTCGGTGGATGCTTCAGGATGTCAAGGTCAACATCAGCATCATAGTAAGGAGGCATATGTACAGTCTGGGCCCTCAAAGTGCTGTGATGAGAAGGGGCTTGACCTCTGTGGTCACCTTCCTCCAAACACATAAGCCCAGGGCTGGAGGGACGGCTCAGCAATTAAGAGTACTTGCTGTTCCTGCAAAGGACCCTGGGTCAGTTCCCAGCTCACACGATAACTCACAATGTCTGTATTATATTATATTATATTATATTATATTATATTATATTATATTATATTATATTATATAGTCTGTATTAATTATAAGGGCTCTAGTGCTCTCTTATGACCTCTAGGAGTATTGCATAGATGTGGGGTACATAAAAGCATGAAAAACAAAAAAAAATCACTCATACACATAAAATAAAAAAAAATTAAAAAACAAAACAACACATCCATAAGCCCAGTCTAGTCAGGAGAAAAGTAGACACAGATGCCAACTGAGAGGCATTTTATAAAACACCTCACGAGTGCTCTGAGAAACTGTGCAGTGCATCAGAAATGAGGAGAACCTGAGTGGGGAGGCTGAGGAGACACGACACCAGAGAACCTGAGGGGGAGACAGAGGAGACAGGGCATCATAGAAACTGAGAAGGGAGGCTGAGGAGACAGGACACCAGAGAACCTGAGTGGGGAGGCTGAGGAGACACGACACCAGAGAACCTGAAGGGGGAGGCTGAGGAGACATGACACCAGAGAACCTGAGGGGGAAGGCTGAGGAGACACGACACCAGCGCACTTGAGAGGGAAGGTTGAGGAGACACAACACCTAAGTGGACATATATGGGAGGAACCTTGAAACATAAAAAGACAGCGGACACACACTAAGGAAAGTGTGGATGTTGTTCTCAATAATACATCGATATTTGTTATTGATGGAAATGTACCGTACCATGATGATACAGTGAGGAAAACTGGACTGAGAGTAGCCATTCTCCCTCATCTTTGGGGTAGATCCCAAGACCCCCAGAAATCTGAAACCATGACCACCCCATACACTCAACTCATAAATTAGACAATGAGAGATGAGTAATATCACAATACAACAAAACAATTAAAAATATAATAATGGAGGTTATTTAAAACTTCTGAATTATTTCAAGACTATTCCATCGAGTATTTTTGTACCACTCTTGACCACAGGTAACTAAAACTGCAGACAGTAAAACCACTGGGAAGAGGGACTACCTTGGGACCGAGAACTATTTTACAATTTTTATGTAACCCTGTAATTGTAACATTAGAAGGTCAGGGCTGGAGAGATAGCTCAGTGGTTCAGAGCATGGTTTCCCTGAGGACCTGAGTGTGATCAGGTGGCTTACACCTGCCTGTAACTCCAGCTCCAGGGGCATCTGATACCTGACATCATGGGCACTTGCATTCATGTGTGATGTGCAGATATGCACACAGACACATGTATGCACCTAATTAGCTAAAAAAGGTTTACAAATCTTTATTTAAAAACCACCAAAAGTAAAATTAGAAGTTTAATTAAAGTTTTAAAAAGAAATTTAACTAATCAAAATTTGCATATATGCTAATGAACCTGCCTTGCAGCTCCTCTGGGTTTGCACACACACACCCCTTGCCAGCTCAGAATGCAGCAGGCTCTTTCGCATCTTCTTGAAGACATGCTTTGTCCCCCACGCTTCTGAGCACTTTGACCTACTCCCGCTGACATGCAAGGGCTCCAAAGATGTCCCTCGATAGGGCAGCCTGGGCTAATTGTTTCATCCAGGAAGGAGTCTAGCTAATCAGTGGGGACCTTTCTGATTAAACAGACTTGACATCATGCTAATGAGCCTTCAAGCTTGGGCTTGAAGGTTAAGGCTCATTCTCCAGCCTCCCATTTCTTTACTGTCCTCCCCTTCTGTGGACCCTGAAACTTCAAGCCTCTGTTCACTTCGCTACTCCGTTCTCCCCTCCCCAAACCCCTGCTCTCAGGAAGAACTGAGTTAACTGATTCTCACCTTATAATCCTATGGAGATTTAAGTCAATGCATTAGCACTCTCAAAATATTTATAAGCTTAGGAATCTAAGGGTCCCCGTCGTCAGGCTCAGGAACAGAAAATAACATCTTTAGTCTCTAGTGGAAGAAGTTGGGTGTTTGGGGCTGTGAAACCCTAATGACCTACTTGCTCAGAGTTGGGGTAAATCCATGGCCTCAGGTTCTGACCACTGGCCACTTCACTCCGTTTCCCAACAGCTCTCTGCAGATTCCATGTCCCCTTTATCCCTACCTTTGGCCTCTTCCAAGTGATGGCCTTCATCTTGGCTTTCTGGCTCAGCTCGTGTGAACCAAGGGCCTGCACACCTGCTGGGAAGACACGATCTTCAAAGAGGCGCTTCTGAGCCAGGCACCGTTGTTTGAGAACAACAAAATCCTGCCCCTCGAACTTGAGAGGCTGTGAGACGGTACCCTCTCCATTCCTCCTGTCCCTTTCCCGGATCACCCTGTCACAGAAGAATCCCGGCAGCAGGTAGGGCATGATGGATGACCAGCAGTGGACCTGGGCCTTCCCTGCGGCCTCTCTTCTGCTGCACCCTCAGCCCAGGCCTAATCCTCTGGTGAATGGCCCGGAGCCTATATAGCTCCTCCGCCCTCAGCAGCTTGATGCAAATGAACACAGTCCAGAGAAAGGCCGTGGTCAGAGTCAGCAGCTTTGGCTAGAGGCCCCTGAGCCCATGGTCTAGGGGCAACACATGCAAGTCAGAGAGGGAGCCAGGGAGGGGAGAGAGCAAGCCAGAAATAGATGGGGGCGCAGACAACAATGGCTTGTGGACCTTTAGGGCACCTCGAACAGCCTTGCTGGGACTCTTGCTTTAAAAAGAGAAAATATAATTTGCGAGAGCTCCCCCTGCCTCAGCAAAAGGCATTCATGCCTTTGACACTGGCCATCAATGGGATATAGCATGGGGCCTTCTAAACATGCTGTATACACTAATCCTATACAGGCTGCTGAATGCATAGGAGGGATCGGCCTTTGTCTGAGGGTAATGAAGCCTCATTCTCCCGATGTCCCTGCCCCACCCCCTCCAGACCTTGACTGCTCTGTTAGGGGCTCTGATCTATGGATGCAGAGGGCAAGTGTATGGACCTCAGAGCAAAAGACCCTATTACAGTTGGCCCAGGGCGAACACAACACACCCAGTGCCCTACATGTAGCACCTCTGGATCAGGAAGTGTGGGTTACAGGTCTTTCCGTTTCTGTTTTGTTTTACATTTCATTTTGATTGAGAGATGGTGTTTCATGTAGCCCAGGCTGGCTTCAGACTTACTGTGTAGCTTAGGATGACCTTTAATTTCTCATCCTCCTGTCTCCATCTCCCCAGTGCTGAAAGTACAGACATGGAGCATTACACCTGGTTTGTGTGGTGCCTGGGATCAAACCCAGGACCTCATGCATACTAAGCGAGCATTTTACCTACTGAGCTACCTCCCAGTCTATGTGTGCTAGAGAACTGTTGCTGGGAATGCTTGGCTTTCCCGCACTTTCATTCTGTGTGCACAGAGAGCTGCAGAAGGTGGGAAGGTAGGGCGGGAAGGCTGCACGCTAGAAGGGTGTTCAGTCCTCCCAGAAGCTCGCTGACCTCCACCGCCTTCACCTGCCCTGCACATCTCCAAGTGTACCCTTCAAACTTCTGGCGTCCACTTTCAAATGTGGCACCAGTGTAAAATGCCACTTCCCAGGGGGCGTGATATTATATACCTATGATCTCCGTGCTTGAGAAGTTTAGGCAGGAGGATTTCTTTGAGTTACAGTCCCACCTGGGCAGTATGGAGAGTTCTAGGCCAGCATTAATTACAGAGTAAGACTGTAGCAAAAGGAGACCAAACGAGCTAAAACAGAACAAAATTTAAAAACGAATAAATAAAATTCAGGTTATTAAGGCCTAGTCTCAGGATCCAAATATCACTGAGTTAAGGTATGGGCTGCATCTCTGCATTTATTGATTATTCTCTCTGTGTATTTTTTATTCTCTCTCTGTCTCTGTAAGTGAGTTTGATAAGTGACTGGTGTGTGTGCTTTCAAGTGAAGGCCGAGGGTGTTGTTTCTCAGGTTCTGTCCATCTTGCTTCTTGAGACAGAGTGGTGCTCACAGCATAGGAGACGGTGTAGTTTGGAATTCTCATTTAGTTTGGTTTATACTCCCCCCCATACCTGTAGTAATGCATTCGGCAGCCAAATTCCTTCACCTGCTAGTCCTTTACACACACACCTCTCTCCAAACAATGTACCTAGCACCCTCAGAAACCCCCAGAGCCCATCCTGCGTCAGGCTGCACATTCTCCCATCTTTGAACAATAGTCTTTCTTCTACCCCTGGTAACAATCAAACAGACAATATCCTTTCTTTTCTTTCTCTCTTAGTCTTTTCTCTTTTTTTGATGAGGGGTGAGTGGGGGCAGTAACCAATTTTAAATAAGTGAGGCTTTTCCAAGTGCCAACAAGGGGTGAATGAAGCAAAAGCAAGGAAGTATTTTTACTCTATCCTTTATCAGGCATTGACTATTATAATTTACAAATGTTGAACAAAATCAATCAACAAAAATAAAGCCCAGGAATATGGAAAGATAGACAGTGCTAAAAATGGAAATCTTCATGGGTTCAGGAACCTTTTGTTGCAACTAATAAAGCATTATTTTACAAACTTTCATTTGGGTAAGGCCCTGATTTGCCTGCTACCTACCCAAATCCAGTGCTTAAAGGGGTAGGTGGACAGTAGATAGGTGAGGCCCCACCCATACACAGGAAGGCCACAGCATTAGGCCTATGATCCCTAAGTTAAGGAGCATCTAACTAAACGGTTATGGAAACAGCCTAATGTCAAGTGTTCACCACAACCAAATGTTCCTAAGGTCCAGGGATCCGGTATTTATTCCTACGCAAGAGATTTCCCCATGTGGCACGGACTTTTCTCAGACTCAGTGGTCAGCTTGACCTTGATGCAGAGATTACAATGGTGTGCTCCCTGCTCCAACTTGCCTCTCTCCTGAAATAAGGCAGTTCCTAGCTAATGTATCAAAGAATAGAAAGACTGATCTGGTTTCTGGTACATGCTCAGTTGTACAGAACTGAGTCCTCTAATAACTTTTCAGGGACAGTAACCTGCTACCTTATATCTTTGCATAGTTGGGTGTGTGTATGAGCAATGCCAGGTGCATTATGGGAAGAAATATGCACAGTAGGGAAAATAAAAAACTACCCAGACTACACCCCATACCAATCAACTCCTCCTTCTCTTCAATTTCATAAAAGGAAGCTCCAAACCTAAATCAGGCCCTTGAGACTTTCTTGACATTATAACCCCCTACAATCTGTTCCACTGCTTCCCTTAGAATATGGTTATCTTGCTTCTTCAGTAAATCTATGTGAGCCCTTCTTCACAATTCTTTGGTTAGTAGGCCAAGACCCTGGAAACACCCAGCCCAGACCCTGACCACCTGAAACAACAGGGTCTCTCTCTGAACCTGGGGCTCACTGGCTAGGCTAGAACATGAACCCATAACCCCAACTGTCTCTGTCTCTGGCATAGGAATTACAGGAATACACCCCACCACACCTGGTTTTTTCACATGGGTTCTGGGGGTACAACTCAGGTGCTCAGGATTGTGCCTCACTTCACCTACCCAGCTTTTCCCAGCTCTAGTTCTCTGCATTTTAAATCAGTTTATTAGGAGACTCTTAATTCTTAAGAGTCTCTTAATTAAGACTCTTAATTAGGAGACTCTTAGGTTCACTGAAGTTTGAAACCATGATTTTGTCATCAGGATATTTGTAAATTATTCTTAATTAAAAATTGCTTTTTCTTAAATGGGCTGGGATATGGGAGGGTAGGATAAGGAGGGACGTCTGAAGAGAGATACCTAACACTAAAGACTTTGGAAATGCCTCATGGAAACCTACTACTGTAGAAACGTGCTAAAATAGACACACATATAAAAGAAGTTCAAATGGAGTTACCCCATAATGGGAGGAGGGAGACAACGTCTCCCTCAGGCAATGTAGGCTATCAAATAAAAAGCCCAATGCCAGGTATGGGTTATCTCTTATCATGTTGTTGGTCACTGAGGACCATAGATTCCCCTAAACATTATAAGTTATAGTTATTGCTCTTGCCTACCCTCTAGAACTTGATGGTAAGACCTGATTATTGAACACGCTACACATCTCAGTCACAGGACATGGAGACTCAAACTGGTAGCATCCAGAAAGCTTCATCTCTACTAGATAGCTTTTACAGTGCTGTTCACATTACTCGGGGAGAAAAGCATTTAGAGTTTTTACACAGCCATGAACTCTATGAACTACAATGACTGTCTTGGCAAGACAGCCTCACTGGTGCAATAGTGGCACAAATGTTATGGGAGTCACCAAACACTTTCTGGTTGGATTTAAGACCCATTCCACAAGATAGAACTAATGCCTGGTATTGTTAAATGAGCCCAAATCCCATGACTGGTTGGGTCATAATACCTAGGGCCCTAGCACAATTATTTTGCTAAACAGACATAGTATTAAATTGCTCTCTAAGTTCGTATCTTTATACCCATAGATTAGTGCATTTCTCAACTCTCAACAGATAAACTTCTTTTTGCAGAATATGACAATTAATACAAAGATCCACAACTTGGTCAATGTTCAGAGAATGAGACTGTGGAGTGCCTAGCTCTAAATGGAACATCTATATCAAAGCCCTTCCCTCAAGATTCAGAGATCATTGCAGAAGACGAGGTGGAAAGATTGTAAGAGCCAGAAGTAGTGGGTATCTGTAGTCAAACCATTTGCCAGTCATGACAGTGAAGTTTAACAAATGAACTGCACACATAGACCTGCAGATGATCAAACCAGCCAAGAATTCCATGGGCTGGGGAGGGGCTCATGAAATACCACCTTGACTGAGAAACCATTATCAATTGATGACTGCTGGAGAAAGGAGACTAAGTTTTCTCTCAGATATAGTCTCCAAAAGGCTACCCATGCTCCAGTAGATGGTCCTATATCTATACACATATAGATGGTACCAAGTGGAATCAGTGAACTTCAGAAAAGAAAAAGATGGCTGGAGAGATGGGTCAGAGGTGAACAGCATCCTTGCAGAGGACTCAGGTTTAGTTCTCAACATCCACTTAGTGACAACAAATGTCTAATACATTCCTTTGGTTTCCAAGGGCACTGTGTACACATACATGCAGACAAAACACCCATACACATAAAACAAGAATAAACAGGTGGTGGTGGTATGGATTTAGTCAAAACATTTATGGCTGGACGTGGTAGTACACCTTTAATCCCAGCACTTGGTAGATAGAGGCAGGCTATTGTGGGACAATCTTTTTGTACACTGTGAAGATGTGTCTCTGCCAAGGCACTTTCTGATTGGTTTAATAAAGAGCAGAATGGTCAATAGCTAGGCAGGACTTCTGGGCAGAGGTAGGAACACTGGGTACAAGAGAGGTGGGATTTGCCAGTCAGATGTGGTAGAAATGGAACACATGATACTGAACAGAGGTGGCAGATTATTATAAATGGGTTAATTTAAGTCATAATAACTAGTTGGGACCAAGCCTAAGTGTCATACTTAATAAGAAATCTCTGTGTCATTATTTGGGAGCTGGCAGTCCAAAGAAAGTCTGACTACAGCAGGTGGACCTTTATGACTTGAGGACAGCCTGGTCTACTTAATGAGTTCCAGTCCAGTCAAGGTTACATAGTGAGACCCTATCTCAAAACAAAACAAAACAAAACAAAACAAAACAGCATTATATGCATGTATAAAATTCTCAATAAGAGGATGTTGTTTCCTCAATTATTTTTCTTTT